GTGCATGATATAACATACCTCGATAATAATCGACGTGATACCAGGGTTCCGCGTGTTGAGAAATCCAAGGTACTCGAGAGGATACTGGAATTCCGCCTTGCACTGCGAACAAAGTCAGATATCAGGTCGATGACAGCCATCAGCACATACCAAGGGAGCCAGATACATATCCGCCAAAACCTGCCCAAACGCATACGCGTCGAAGAGCTCCGTCTCAAACTGCCCTACACCCTTGTAAATCTCCGGCGCATCATACCCCGGCGTACCATACGCATCGCCCGTCGACGGAAACGCGACATATTCCGTAGTCATCCCAAAGTCTATCAAGCACAGGTGTCCCGCGTCGGTGATCATGACGTTCTGGGGCTTGATGTCCATGTGGTAGAGGCCGTGACTATGGAGGAAAGCGACGGCTTGTGCAAGCTCAGCAGACCAGTATCCGAGGGTTTCATCGGGGATGTATTGGGTGTAGGTGATATATCGCAGGATTTCGTCGTACAGACTACGCTGGTGGAGTGTCTGTATTTCGATAATGAGTGCGAGTAATAAACAAGAAGATTTAGACTTACCATGAGTATATAGAAAAAGTCGTGATCCTGAAAGAAAAAGGTATCTTTGGGGAAGAACGGATTGGCCGTCTCGCCGAGCATCTGGAGAACACGTTTCTCGTTGAGAATGGTGTCGACAGAGAACCTGGAGTCGACGCGAGTCGTGGGCTCAAACCCTGGGGTCAAGTAGACGCGCTTGGGGAAGGTCTTTACGGCGAAGAGGCTAGCGGGGGATTGGGCGAGGAGGACAGTGCCATACGTGCCCGAGCCTAGTCGTCTCAAGAATACGATGGGGACACCTCGGATGGATATAGATTGTGGAATGGGGATCACAGTGGTTGGCGCTTCAAGGTTGGGCAGGAGGAGTGGCTGACGAGCGACGAGTCTGGGCCGGATAGCAGATGTGTGCAATGATATCGCAGTATCCTCGTCTGGGATTGTGGGGCACGATGCTGGCGAGTACAAGACCAGCGCGCCTGCGACGATTCCCGTGGGGTGGCTGGATGACGATCCAACAACGGACTCGTCCGCGACATGACAGGGCAACGACTCGGTTTGGACACCAACCTGAGCATATCGCTTCACTGGCGGGGAGATTGGAGGAACCGAGGACGACAAATCCGAAGCCGCGGACGAAGACACGACGGATGACGATGCATCAGACGATATGGAGATGGTGGCGGAGAGTGTGGAGGCATCGCTGCTGCGAGTGCTCTTGGCCGTCCGCGTCGCCTTTCGGAAAAGACGAGACACTATGGAGAGTCTGCGAAGGAGGGCCATGATGGGAATGTAGAAGGAAGATTTGTTTCCCTCCAGGAATTATATGCATTTGTCGGCGGTCAAAGAGACGGCAGTCGCGATCAAAGCAATGGAAGGTCGGTGCCACTGGTCAAAGCGGAGTGGAGTCAAAGGCCGCCGCGTAAAATCAAAACGCTGGGCGAGTACAGCCCATTCCATCCTTGTAATGATATGGACAGATGCAGGCGGGGTGGATAGGAATGGACAGTGTCGAGATGGCTGGATGTCGGAGAGGCAGTTTATGACAAAAGCCATGATGGGCGGCCTTGCCATAGTCCAAACGAGGAACAAGGCGGCAGCGCGGGGCCATTTCGACACTTTGTCCAGCATGAAATTCAGGGCTAGAGGCGTTTCGGACGGAGTTTAGGATGCATACAAAAGATAATATGCTGCAGTGACATACCAAGAAGCATCCCAGTTCCGGCCTTTGCACCCGAGAGTGCTAGCAAAGTCATGCCAAGGCGCACGTCTGATGTCTTCCTTCCTTCCAGGCCACTAGCAAAGTGTACCCTCACTCCGCAGTTCTCCTCCTCGTGTGTATGCGCGTACATTGACAACAAGCCATGGTCTTCGCGAGATTCTGCTATCTATAGGCCAGACATTGTATCATTTGGATTGGCTTTGACACGAGAGGCGCACCAACCTTTGTCGTCGAAAAAGAGGTTCGAAAGAGTTCTGGGGTTGATGATAGCAGGAAGAAAGCGTCGGGCCGAGCACGTGGCTTCCCGCTCCGCTCTAAACTTCGTCGCCGTTGCTGTCCACTGCTGTCTTGGTCTCAATCAAAGGACCGCTAGGGATACTACGGGAAAGGCTACTGCCCTACGCGTCATCCTGCGACGTGTGTACTGGTTTCTGTCCGACGCTGCTTCATCGGAGCTCAAAGTCAGAACAATATTTTCTATCTGTCCGCGTCACTTCGTCGGTAATGGATTGTACTTGCCTAATGGCTGGCTTGCGCGGTATCGACCTGTCATTTGGCCGAACAACCTCCAAGTATTATCGGCTTCCATGTCATATTATACCCTCTAGACGACTTCTCCATTCGCGCCGCGCTTTCAGACAAGTTCGGTGTGCCGCCATTAAACTATGGACCAATACAGGGCCCACATGCGGCCTTAACGGCTACAGTTACTCAGGTGGGTAACCCACCATCTCTCCGGCGCAACGACCCGGGTGCGCAGAGGAGCAGCACCGCCAGAAGGTCCGGGAGCGCTACGAGTGGGTAAGCGAAATGCTCATTCATCTGCCGCCATCGCGTATCTGAGTCGACAGTAATCCTCATGAACATCTCTCGAGTGAGCATCAGCACCGAGGCGATACCGAAGATGAACGCGCCGTGTTCTCCTCCTATGGACCGGTCTATGGGCGCGAACTTGGAGGAGCCTATCGCTGAGGAAAAGGCCAGAAAGAATGCTAGTGAACAAGAACTGGACACGTACGTTCTCGCTCGTGCCTAATCAGAACCGCGGTCTGCCATGTACTCCTTGACTTGGCTGTCGGACTGTTCGCGCTTCTATATGCGACTTTTACGTCTATCGTGCAGAGGTGCATCTCCAGTGTTCTTGTCTTTTTCCTTCTACTACTCGTTTGGACAGAGACCATCTTTCAGACCTTTCACGCCGGCCCACGATATCAAGGTCTCCTCCACTGACTGCAATTTCTACAGCTCGTAATATGAATCCTGCAAGACGAACTGGTATTACATGATCAGCTCGGGCAATGGATGCTATAAGATTCCTCGTACCTATGTGACCAAACCCCCGCCACGAAGAGACCGGCGGCTTGTCTTTCCGGAAAATGCTTTATAGGCGGTGCAAATGCTGAATTGCGGTTGCTCGTCCGTCACGTTGTTTTGATGTGAAGACTCGGACGCGCAGTCGATAGTACTGAGTCGGAGAACCTATGGAGGTGAATCATATTTCTTCCCAACACGGTGTCACGACTAAGTGCACAGGTTCATCTCGGTAGAGCGATTTCGAGGGAAATTGGCGCAAGAGAAGTAGCCAGAGCCTAGTCAGTAAGAATCATTACTGAGCATGAGCGAGCGGCGACACATGTAGCACTGATGCTGAAGCGGTTAGTATCCTGCTTGCCTTCTGTAGGCAAGCAACAGGGGATCGGTGTCTATAAGTCTGTTTTTTACGCGTGTACTAGCCAAGCTGAAGCACCAGTAGTAACTTGTTTCCATAGTACCTACCGGACATTGGTTGAATGACAATAATTCTATTTTTCTCAGGTGAACCGAGTTACAGCCGATATTTCACTAGGACTTTGCGATAGTCTAAGAATTCTATTAGTAGATAGTAAGTACAACACAGCGAACGAAACAAAAATGGCGCTCAACGTGTTCAGACTGGAAGAAGAATTTCTTATAACCTTAAACCCAGCCCGTACCTCCATCCTCGGCTCCCTTCTGTAACCTGTTTATCGGTGTATCGCTCATCGGTCAAGGGGACCTTACGCGCCGCAACAATTGGGGCGGTCAGATCGGATTTCCGATAGCCAGTCTGTTGCGTTTGACGGTGCCAAGCACTGGTCGGCTGATGTCTACGGTAAGCCATTTTATTCATCATGCACTGGCGATCACCTTTTTGAAAGTACTTTGTCGCCGCTGGAGTGGGTGTCGGCACCAGCATTGGAGCGGCGAGGGACGAGGCCGCAATGCGCTGCCAGTGGTGGCGTGGGACGTCATTTAGTAGTAAGAGACTAAAGTGTCCAGTCAACGGACATACTTTGCCAGCTTTCGCTCTCTTGTATTCATTGATCCCGTCTCGACAGTGTATCGCCAGCTTTAGAACCGCGGGCAGACAGTGTACGATATTACACCATGTCCTGACTCGCGTGCAAGATGTGGTAAGGGACCGTATGAAAAAGGACGGGACTCTTATTACACTCGGTACATGGGGCGGATGTGGGATCCTTGCCCGATCGTAAAGCATCCGCAAACCGGCAGTTCCATTTACGGGACCGGGCGCCGGCTAACAACCACCACCACCACCATGTCACTTCAACTTGATTTGGATCGAGGAACAAGAATAAATGATGTCGTCGGATGAGCGATGCTGATTGCAGGGCGTTCGTTTGATTGAGCCGAAGGTTCTGGATGAAGCGTTTACTAAAGACGACGCGCAATACACACCGGGTCACGACGGAACAATAGACTGACTTTCAATTCCACGAGCTATGCAGGCTGCCCAGCCGTGCTCGCAGAATGCGCACTGTAACGTCAGATAAGAGCAAGTCAGTGACATGAAGAGGAGAGTGAAGCCACCAGGAATCAACACGGGCAAACAAACGTGTTCAACTTGAACTGTTGGTCTATCATCTTATGCAGTGGCGTCTTCTTCAAATCATATACAGAAATCACGTATCAATGGTCCCTATCTGACGGACGTGCTTTGCACATCGGAGCCTGAGTCGCTGCAACGTGAAGACAACTTCACCATCAGATCAAACTTGAGTCCTAGGAATCATTCTCGTCTTTCGGCATCGAGTGAACTACATATCTTTTATCAATGCCAATCTCCTGTAGACTATACTACTACTATTATGAGTGGTACTAGGGGTAATAGTAGTAGTAGTAGCAGTAAATTCTGAGTAACATTGAATCTTGCGCCACATTAAAGTGGGTATACAAGGCGGTTTCATGATTAAACACCGATGGTGAAGCGGTCATCATGCTTGCCTTTCATAATTGTAAATGTTATTGTGAAGCAGGGGGCAGGGGTTCGACTCCCCTTCGGTGTATAGCCTCGATGCAGCCTCGTTCAACTTTTTTTTCGCGGAGTGTACTATGGTAGGTATCCGTACCTGCCTGGTCAGTGGTAGGGTGGTGCAGTAAACCTCCGGGTGTTAGTAACATTATGATACTGACCCCCCGGGAGGCCTTAGTTTTGAACCCGTTTCTAACGGTTTCGATACTGGCACGTGATGTGGCGCAGCGGTGCGCCTCCCTGATCCCGCCGCTCTCTGCTTGCCTCAGTACTGCCACCCATCACATGGCTGTAATCACGTGCTGGTATTGAAACCTACCTACCAGCCCCCCAGGGTTTCAATACTGTATCAATACCCTTAATATTGATGCACCTCGGGTTTACTGCACCACCCTAGTCAGTGGTGCCAGAGACTCGTTCAATAGGTCAATTGTTGTAGTTTTCTCAAGGGAATTCTATTGGATGGATATCTGCTGCTACCTAGAGCGATGAAAGCGCTGGTGTACATGGAGGCCCACGAGTAGTTTATGGACACCATGAATGGCGAAATATACCATGCACGCATTCACAAGATCCCATTCCCGAAACCACTACCACCCAAAGATCAAACCGAAACCTGCTCCCTTACTCGGACTCTCGCCTGCCACTACAGTCGGCTGCGCCCTCACAGGCGTCCCCGCCGCCGCCTTGGCCGGCCTAAAAATCTACGAATTCGGCGCCAGCTTAATTGGCGTGCCTACACTCCCCGGCACATCCACGTCCATATTGTCCGCCTCGTCATGTACGCTCTGCGGCGGCGATGATATATTCGCAGAAGCATCTGCCCACCCGCCTGCACCGCCTCCGCCGCGGATGACGTCCCCGTTCTTGCGTAACGCGCGCACGGCATCAGCGGGTTTGGTGTACCCGAGCTTGAACGCGTTGCCGACGTCGTAGAGAGACTCGGGCTGGGTGGTGCCCGCGCTAGAAGGGGCGTTGGTCGACATGGAGTATTCGGAGGAGAGAGACAGAAAAAAGTCGAGCGTTGACGCGTATTTGTCGGGCGGGTACCCGGATACGATGAGATATGACGGGTCGAGGACGACGAGGTACTCGTGGTGCGGCGTGTAGGCGGGAACGGTGTGAGAAAAGAAGAGAGGACGATGTAAGCCGCGAGGAAGAGGCGCCAGTGGTGCTGGGCATCGTTAACGCTCATCATCGGCGGAGCACCGTCGTCTTCCGCGCGCACGCCCGCATAATGATAGTCGAACATGCTGTCCATGCACAACGACTCCCGCGCTTCCCGTCGTCCAGCTTGCTGCTGTTCGTTTTCGCTTTGGTCGATACCGTAGCGGCCCGTCCACATCATGTACCCTCTTTGATAGCCCTTGGACCGCCGCCCGTAGATGTGCTTAGCGTGTTAAGCGTGTTCGTCGATGAGGTCGACGAAGAGAGCAGCGACGACGGGACGGCATTCCCGCCACGGAGAAACCCAACGGTTGCTGGTGATGTTGTCTCGCGTACAATTGGTGGCAAATGTGATGGTGGAAGACAAAGATGTGTTGGCCTGCAGACAAAATGTCACGGTCGGTGAGATGACAAACAACGCGTCAACAAAGATTCGGGTTAGGGTTCTCCTGTTGCTACTGGCACTGCCAATACCGTGCGCGAATTGCGAGCTACGCATCATCCTGCGACTTTCTGTCCGACGCAGCTCCATCGGAGTTGGATCCTGACGCTCCTCGTTCGTGTTTCCGACTCGATCTTCATGTCAAACACTGGATACCAACTGTCCTCGATGTGATCAACCATGTAAGATCGTCGCTCATTCCAAGCAATGACCCGGCGGAGGCCAGTATTCTCTGGCTCTACCTTCAACTTGTCTTCCTGCGTCAATTCCAAGTTGAACTCTGCCCTAATACTCGCTACGATGGCCCATGATCGCATCCTTGGAATAAAGGACTTCTAAATGTCCCAGCTATCTACTGCGCGTTCGAGTCTTCCCATCAAAACAGCGTGATGGACGCGCAACATCCGCACAGCCTATAAAGCATTCTCTCGATGCTGCGGGAAGACAAGCCGGTCTCTTCGTTCTTTCCCCATGGCGCCGGCGCTCCTACCCAGTGAGGCTTGTCCAGGCCTGGCGCCAGCAATCGTTTTCGCCACAGCATACCTTCCCCTTTCTGGGTGGTTTACATTCAAAGCTGTAGAAGGAGCCACTACTTCGAAAGTGTTGTTGATGGGCTTTTGTCTGGTGCGTTCACTCAAAGCCGTCGCTCAATCGCTCATGGAACGCCAGTTCGTCTTGCAGAATTCATATTACGAGCTGTAGAGATCCGCCTGAGCGGAGGCAATCCGACTGTGGACCGAGTGCTTGACTTGGCGGACTGTTCGCGCTCCTATACGCGACTTTTACATCGGTGCTGGAGAGGTGAGTTTCTGCTTTCTTCTCCCTTCACATTTTACTCACTGGGACAGAGACCACCTCCTGGACCTACCACCTGCGTCACCGCTCCTTCAGCGCTTCTTGAAGATGATATTCATTTCGTTCGGAACGATTGGCATGGCACTTGGTATTGCCGCTGCCACCCAAACTCCCATGTCGCTGTCTGATAAGGCGTTCGACATAGCGAGCTCGCCATCTTCCTAGCACTCAGCGTCTGTTAACATGGCAGACTACGCTTCTCATAAAGCATGAGCGAGAACGTGCGTGCTCCAGCCTTCCTTATATTCCCACCTGTTCTTACCATCTTTCTCCAATAGGCTCTTCAAAGTTCGCGCCAATCGACCGTTCAATCGGCGGAGAACACGGCGCGTTCATCTTCGGCATCGTCTCCGTGCTGATGCTCATCCGGGAGATGTTCATGATGATCACTGTCGATACACGATGGAGGCAAACGGATGAACGTTTCGCTTACCCACTGGTAGCGCTCCCGGAGCTTCTGGTGGTGCTCCTACTCTGTGCACCTGGTTTGCTCCGCCGTAGAAGCGGTGGGTTACCTATCTAGGGAGCTGCAGGGTACTATATTTATCAATAATTTTAAACACAAAGAACTGGCACGAGGAAATGGGTCGAATTGATTTGATTTGATTATCGAGATGCAGATAGCCTAGGTTCATTAGCTATGAAGTAAGATATTACGCCAAGGAACAGAGGATTTAGAGGTCGCCAGGCCAGCTGACGCGTCTTGAATTTGCCTCGAACAAAGCGAACTGGTGGTCAAAAGTGGCTTAATGGCGATCACGTGTTACTTGCTCCTATTTGGCTGCACACTGCTCAGCACTGCTCTTCCTCGTCTCACCTTGAGATCCGACCACGGTCCCTCATGATTCCTGCTGCCGCCAAACAGTTGTGCATCACGCACCGTAACCGTACAGTACGGGTTTCCGTACCGTCCCGTATGCCCTCGTCTCGCCCCCCCGGTTACGGATCCGACGCAGCTTCCCAAGTCATGTTTTACCCGTCGCCTTATCCAGGCAGCTACCTGCCACCGCAATCAGTTGTGCCTTTCCTTCCGTTGAGACAGAGCCAAGGTCTGTCGTTCTGTTTGTGTTTCTTTTAGTCAACCTTTAAGGTGCAAGCCGACTGTACGCGTTAGGTGCCAATAGCAGTAGACGAATTGACTGTGGTGCGCTGGTTCAATTACTTCGTAGTACGTATCGTTCACCCACGGTTAGTGGCTATTTTCAGCGAGACGCCATATTTCTAGGCACCTATGCCAAGGGAATGAATTGAACTAAATGGTAAGCATTGTTGTCCATCGCATCGATTCATCCCACTGACGTGTTTCAATTACAAGTCGAATAAAGCTATGTGGCTGCGGTTAGAAGTACAACACGCTTCCATGAAGAGGTGTTCCTTCGGCACCTAGCTCCGGAGAATTGATGACGAACGAATGCTGATATGATTAGCGGCCCGATCATTCATTGATGACCTCGCTGGCGGCACGAGCTGTCTAATAAAGCCGCCTTCACTGCAAAGCCACCCCCACCAGCAGGATTCCCACCGCCATTCATTCTTTCCGAATCACGTCGATATCCGGCCGGCGACAATGAAATCTCCCACCCCATCCACGTCCTCGACTTCGGACATTGTAGTGCAGAGCGACGCCCTGCCCACCTACATGTCGAATACCCAACCCGCTCATTGGGTCTCACACAAACCTTCAGGCGGATTCCAAAATCCATGGCCCTCTTTCCGGCTGCTGGGCTTCAGAGACATCCTCAGTTTGAACGCAGCAATGCGGCACGCCCCCGCGCCGCCGCACAATATCGTGCCTGTGCGAAAGCCAACATGGGGATGGGACGTAGAGGAGAAAGGAACGGACCGGCAGATGAAGACGACATGGCTTGGGCACGCGTGTTTTCTCTTGGAACTGAGCAGCGGGGTGAGGATTCTATTCGATCCGGTCTTCAGCGACAGGTGCTCGCCGTCGCAATTAATGGGACCAAAGAGGTTTACTGGTACGCCATTGCTTTTCATCTGGGGACAATTCTGACAAATCGCCCATTCGTAGACGCGCCTTGCACCATCGAAGACATTCCGCCCGTCGATCTCATTGTGATATCTGTCAGTCTTTTCTCTTCTTTGCGCATAGTGGTGTTCTAACCAGTCGCCGTCCACAGCATAATCACTATGACCAGTTAGTCATCTATCCTAGCGTTCATGAACAACAGCTTACCATTCTTCAGTCTGGACACCCACACCATAACAACGCTGTTCAAAACGTCCAAGCGCATGCCCCATATTTTCGCGCCATTAGGAAACGAACACTACTTTGCGTCCCTCGGCATACCCAAGACCCACTTCCACACCCTCGACTGGTGGCAGAAGGCAGAAATCACCGTCCCCTCCGCCAAAGATAGTTCGATAACGGACACTCTTACCCTGACCTGCACACCAGCCCAACACAGGACAGGGCGTGGCATACTTGACCAATTGAAGAGTCTGTGGTCCAGCTGGGTCGTTACGACGTCTGCGTCGAAAAACATCTACTTCGCAGGAGACACGGGTTACCGATACGTCCCCGACGGAGCAGATGAGGACGAAATGCC